AGGTGTTTTGATCTCAAAGGTGTCTAGCAGAACATCAAGAGGTAATCTATGCTGCGTCTCGTTGTTGGAGATCGAGGTTGATTTTAGTTGGTTAGCGTGACGCACCCAGATTTCTGAACCAACGGACACCTGGTAAACCACATTTCCTTTCTTATGCACGATCCGACCAGCTATCCATGTAGGAAGTTTTCCTCGATAGTACATAGCAAGTACCTTTTGACCCAAACTGAACAATCGTTTTTGTGCCCCATGATGACTATTGTACTGTTTCTTCATCATCACGTTTCGTTTGGGTTCACGAGCTGGAGTCGGACGAATGCTGTCAAAATGTGTCCTTATTTTTCTGCCAAGTAACGCTTCCGCTGAGGAGACTCCATTTGTTGTCTGAGGGTTTGGTGCCGAACGGTGTATAAACAGGAACCTCTCTACGATCTCTTCGGTGTCCCCCTCCCCTCTTGATTTTTTTAGAGCATTTTTGAACGTACCAACAAAACGTTCTACCTGACCATTCGATTGCGGATGGAATGGAGGTGTTCGGATGTGCCTGATTCCGTTCTGCTGACAAAATTCTGAAAGGTCTTTTCTGACTTCACCTGACGACACTGGAGTGTTTCGAATTGCCGCTGCTGCTACACTCCGTATTTCTGGAACCTTTTTACCTGTCATTTTTGCATATGAAGTGGTGTCTAATGATGGACGCGACACGTTACACACGCTGTTGATGGGTATATCCATTAATCCAAGCTTTTCTAACATATCTAGACCAAGTAGATCAAGGTTTGGTCATTCTCTTAGATAGCATACTTCTTTACAGCTATTTCCATTGAAGGAAAATTCACATTGTAATTCACCAACTAGCTTCAGTACACCTCCAGATACGTTTTTAGCCGTTTTCTTGGATGACTTCATTGGCGGTTTTCCCAGCAAGTTATAAGTCTCTCTAGACACTACAGTAATATCGGATGCTGTGTCAATTTGAAGATGAACCGCTAACCATTAATCTGGATCGTAACATACTTTCTCCGAATGTCATAGTCTGTTTGGAAGGCTGCTACCAGAGAAAGTGATTTAGATTCGGCTGACTTTATGTGTCGAGGACGTTTGTGCTTCTGCTTAGGCTGGGACGTACGATTTGGAGGACAATGACCTTCTTTATGCCCACGTTTGTTACACATCTGACATTTATGTTTCTTGAATGGGCAGAATCGTACATAATGCCAATCACCACATAACCAACATGCAGTCGTTGGTTTGCTACCACTTGTTTTCGGTTTCTGAACTTTTAACCTCGTAATAGCATTGACACTACTGCAGGTTAAATTAGGATTTTTTATAGTTAAGATCATGAGTCAATTGAAGCTAGACCACCGTGGAAAACCTGGAAGCACTGGACGGCACTGGACCTACCAGACCTGGGTTCGAATATGGCGAGAGCGGGTTCGTGGATGCGCACTGCTGAGGAGTCCCATAATAGGACGAAACGGCCGTCCAGTGCTACCAGGTTTTCCACGGTGGTCTAGCTTCCATTGACTCATGATCTTAACTATAAAAAATTACTAAATCTACACAAGAAACCCCTTGTGATAAATTAGGATTTACCTGTTCAATCAACTGATTGTCGTGTCTGATGTTCTATAGCCGCTTACACTCATCTGTTAACGTTCTGAGTGTGATGTTAGGATCTTGATCCAAACGAGTTAGAAGTCTGGTTCTAATCTCAGCATATTGTGGTGACTGGAGAGCTTTGATGAATATAAGGCATTTAGATTGATCTTCTGTCAACGAGCGTAACTTGAACCGTTCACACTCTCTGTTGACGACATCTGCTGGAGCACCATATTCATCGGCTTCACGTTTCACCAAATTCAAACACTGATATCGAATACTAAACAATGAGGAAGATTCGCCAAATATCTCTGACAACTGCGTTACTGTCTCCTCGAAACTGAGCTCTCGAGGTAACTTTGGCAAAATATGATAAGCATAACGTGCATGTTCATGACTTCCCAACTTACGCGTCAACAACCGAGTCTTCCATGTGTCATCTTGTTGACAGAATTCTATTCTAAATGTATCTTCCCAACGCTTGAACCACGTGAGAAATGTATTTCCACTTTCGGGATCATATATGAATTCTGGGATGCTGCTAGCAACTGGATCACAAGAAGTACTTGAAACAGCATGTGAACTCGAGTAGTGTATGTTAAGCTGCTGCGTCAGAGTTTCTAACAGGTGCATTTGTGCGTCAAGTCGTGCTTGCTGTTGTTGTAGTATTCGGCTGAGCTGGTCATCTGATATAGGCATTTTGAATGAATTTTCCTTTTTCCTCGTCGCCACTGTTATAATTGTGTTTTTTGCTATATAAACGACCCAGCTATTCCTATTGCTTAGTATTCTTATACGATGACACTCGACAAGACCCCGAAATCAGAACACGTTGAACAGGAATGAAATTGTATTCAAAATAATAATGATAAGTGAACAGCACTCAATAGTTTGAATAGCGTTCATATATTTATAGTATATGCATAAGAAGCTTATAGATTTTTCTGCAATGATATGCCCGGGCTGATCGGTTTAAAATTAACCAATCAGCGCGCAGCAACACCATCATGCATAAAACATGCTTAATCCAATCTATATCCAGCTAACAGATATCGTCCACATATTCACAAAAGTTTTTTTCTGTGGAAGATTTCAAATCACACAGAAAAGAAGAGAAAATAAAACAGGGAGAGAGTAGCTCCTTGCGGCAAACTTTCGCGAGACAGTAGAGACCTTGAACACTTTCCTCCAAACACAATGTACTGTTCTCTTTCGGAGATCCAGTAACATAGACACTTGATTGTCCAGGTGTCAGTATTGACGCTGATTAACTTTTCAAGTAGAAATTGTATTGGGATATAACCAAAAGCAGAAGTACAATCTAGAACGCCGCATCTAACGTAATTCTTACTGTTTCCCAGGGTGAACGCGGCATTACGATTCAGAACATCAGCAGCATCTACGGTGCTTCTCCGCATTTGTGAGCAAACTGATACGGATCCATGTGCTCTTCCGGTGCAAACTGTTACAGGAAGAACTGAAAATATTTGAAGGATTACGGACTGTTGTACTGAACAACAATAAGTTTGGTGTTTTGGATAAATACTTTGGTTCAAATTTTAAACTTCTTTGTTCATAACTTTGACCTCGAACATTTTGATTTGACCTTATTGGGTTCAGTATTTCGGATGTTTTTGCCCTGGAAACCAAAAATTTGAAGTTCTGTTGAATTTCTCTGATCTGAAAAGTTATTTGGAGGTCTTGAACCACTTATTAAGTTAAGGAGTATATATCTCCTGAAGCTGGTTCTTCAACATCACGAGTTCGCCAGAATTCAGAAAATGTTCACCACCTATTTTCCTCAATCGTGGGCTCATACCTTCGAGGCAGGTCTGTTAATAGCACATCTTCTAGTTCCTATGTTAAATCGGATCGTTTTTAAAAGTCTGTAACATCCGAACATCCCTCTGGTGATCTAATTATACTTCTGGTTGGCCTGTCATATGCTAGTCCCACTAACTTAACGAAATTGTGCTGTCAACATATCGGTATTGAATCGTGCCTACCCAGTGAAACCAAAAGCCAGAAGCGAAGAGGTTGGAAGATATTGTATCAAATGTACTCGCGGGTAATGTTGCTGATGCCTACTTCTCGTTATTAGCATCACCAGATTTTCGTGCATGTTTTGCAGTCATACTATTCAGAAAAACTTTGTGGAATTAAAGTCGCTTGTGGACTATACAAATCGAAGAGAATTCGGTAGGACTGCATGTCACGAACATCAGAGCGTTTCGGACAAGCTCACGGCACAGCGATGCACTAAAGCTCTGATAGCTGACACACCAGTCAATTGTCGCTCCGTATATTTACTCCGACTCAATTGTTCTGGCCGGCTTGTTGCTGCGGCACATGGAGACCGTTCTGTTTGTGTTTATTGCGCTTCCACTGGTCGACTACTATTAAGATGCATTGGTCATGAGAGATCTCCTTGGACACTAACTTTTCATCCAACACAACCCTTCTTGCTTACGAGTGGATGTCTTGGTGGCAATGTACGGCTTTGGAATTTAGAGCACTTGGCAGCACTTGGCGATGAAAAAATAGAGGGCACTGTGGAACTGTCATCTGTATGCGTTTGGAAGCACACGGGTGCAATCGCATCACTTGCTTTCCATCCAGTTCACCCCATACCAGTAGCAGCATGGACTCAAGAAGTAGTCTTTTATGACTGGGTATCTGGTCGGATACTTTCGGCATGGCGATTTGTGTCAAATCACTCACGCTTAAGATGGGTAAAATTCGCCCCTGATGGAACAGTTTTATACACAGCAACCGCCAATCCATCCAACACTGAATCAGTCTATGTACATAAGCAATCTGATCAACCATTTGTTAGGAGTCCAACAAAAGTAGTAGCTACCAAATACCCTAAACAACCATCTTATATCCCAGTGGATCATGATGGCGTCAGTGTAACTCCCGAAGCCTCATGTGATCACACAGTACATCGTGATGCTCTTTTAGAATATCTTGTTAATTGTTCTGACTCCTGGTTTCAAAGTCTCGGTATATGTTCTGTTTGTTCGGTTCGTTTATGTCGGTGGGCTGGGACTCTCGGACCTAAATTCCCAGCAACGACGACAGATATTCGCCTTGGAATGTCTGTAGCACAACAAGCCGCAGCTGTTATGGCCTCCATTACTTCGTCCAACATGATGCCATCACATGTCCAACACCTAATTAACCTGACAAATCCCAATAATCGTTCTGAAGTGTATAAGCGTCTCTGTCGTGATGCTAACCCAGCTGCCGTAGCCATAATTGAAGATATGCCAGTACATTAATTCCTCCGCTCAAGAGGCAACTACTGTCGCTCCCCATATGTTACAATCTCGAATAATGGTGTATGTTGTGGTGGTCATGCTTGTGATTTAGTAATAACTCATCGCGAGTTAATGCGTCATTCTTTATGTCGACCTTGCCTCTCTTCATTTTGGTCTTGGGCTAATAAACATGTTGCTTGGTGGCGGTGGTCTTTTTCTACAAATGATGAACAATCTCTAAATTCTGCGTCAAGTGCTGGTAGTAAAGCAGGTTCTGTACCAAATCCTATATCCTTCGGAAAAACGAGTAATACGGAAAAGTCTTCTCATATTGAACCTCCTGTTGGCATTTGCATTCAGTATCAAGCTAGAATGTCTTTACAATTACAATCATCACCCAGTATGTCACTGACATGTAACCAATCTCCCGTTTTACCTCATGGAGTTGGTTCTGAACCTAAGGAATCCGATGTCCCGTCAGTCAATGGAAAAACCCCTAAATCTCTCCGCTTAATGCCGCTTGCAGCTTTGGATCTATTACGCTCAAGGTTAAGTAATGCTCATGAAGTTACTCCAGTAACTTATGTAGCCACCGACTTAATCAACGACTTTGTTTTCAGTCAACACATCAAAAAACTGTTAGTCAACAGCGGTGATTCCGATCTCGATTTATCTCATACACTGTGGGACTCAAGTATTACTATACCTTACAATCAGGCGGAACAGATAGTCTTGTGTGCCTCTTCTTCACCTAAGCGTCGAAGTGGATAATCAATGTCAGAACAAAATACTTGTTAGTCACTATGGTAGTCAATTATCTTTTGACAATACCTCAACTTTAAGACCCCTGCTCATGGATTCTGATTCAAAAGATGAATTATTTGAATCTAAACTTCCGAACACTTTTCTAACGTGTAAATATCGTCTACCGCAGGAGGCCTCTGATTTAGGAGCATACACGCGCGACAACCCTGATAACAACTGGAATTATCCACGTCCTGCCACCATTCACTACACTTCTAGTGTCACACCTTGGATGACTCGTCTATTTTCCCGTACGTCCAGACCGGTGCTTCTCTGCTAAGATCTCCTCGTCAGCTTGGCGATTCTCTTTCGGAATCCACTGCTGTGGATCAAATCCCAGGGTTACCAACTTCCAACAAAGCCTTTGTAAACGATACACAGCATGTCGACAGTTGTGAAACTGATCAGTGTGAAGGATCCAACCGAAGTTCAATGACTGCGTGTTGCCGTTGTGGTCGTATTGTTCTTCAAACCTTTCCCGTTGATCCTCACTCAAATATCAGTGCAGTCGTCTGTGAAAAGCTAGTTTATTCTGAGAATCGGTACTCAACTCCTAGTTCCCAGAAAACTCATGATAGCATTATTCATTCGCAATGTTCATCTAACCAAGATCCCCATACTCCCACAGATCATCCTTCTTATCAGTTTGGCTTATCGCTATTAAGCTCTCGTCCGTCTGGTGCAACGTCTCTATCTAACTTATCCAGAAATGTAGACGCTAGAAAGTCAGAAACTGTTGGAAGATCAGTAAACGCCGTGCTTCATTGGATTGACCAAACTGGGAGTAATTCTGTATTAAATGCGATGAATCGTAGTATAACTGAAGTTATAACTGGTCTCTTTGTTGACATGGGTGAATATGGATCCGCCTCTAGTCTTCAAGATGTTACACATCGTATTTGCCGGTGGGAACCGAGTTTATGTAGTCCTATCTATAACACTCCTTATTTGTCTTCATCTGGTGAACGTGATTCAGCAAGAAGTGCGTGCTCACCCATGCCAACCAATGTTGCTGTTGCTGTATCATATATTTAGTAGATTATCAATATCTAGAAGAGTGACTGATTTAAACTGGTTAGTGATTAGAGGAGTAGTTGAGCACGGCGTTCCCACTCGTGGTCTGGTGCGGAAGCATGACCGAGAGCTTTCAGCTAGCTGGGTCCATTAAAACTAATGTGGTCAGCATCCTATGTCGAGAACATACAGAGCTATTGATTTTGGGGACCTATTTACCACTACAACCTTTTATTATCTACTTTGATCCCCTGTTATTCCCCATTCTTTCGATATCAACTTTACTGTATTGATGACAGTGCTTGAGGCCGTTAGCATGGTGTGTGTTGAGTCTTTTGTGGTCAGTGATAGTACGCTTATGGATAGGCATCTAAAATCTTGCAAACGCATAGTGGGTGTTGGCTTGTCAGATACCAACCATCCAGTTCTTTCATATCTTTCCCTTTTTATGTCCTCTAGTGGACGAGGGGTTTATATAATGGAATACTTGGACGCAAACAACGATATAAAAACTCTGTAATACCTTATCTGGTAAATATATTGTGTTGAACGGGTTGTTAGAGCCGACCTGGTCGACAACTTGCATTCTTAAACACGTTTCTAACTAAAACATTGTGCAGAATTATATCTTTGAACAAAAAGCGTTTCGTTTAGTCTTCAGTAATAAGGATAGAAGGTCTAGTGACCTATTTTAATCCTTGCAGTTTGTTACACTATGGAGGTCCAATCTCGTCTTGAATATATCAACAGTAGGTGCTGATATTACGTGTTCTGGTAGAGGATTCCAGTAATCCACTACTCGGTGCGAGAAACGAAACTCCAGACGTAGACGATTTGATCTCGGTTTTTGGACTTTTTTTGAATGTCCTCTCAAATGCTCAGCCCTAGACGGGAGGAAAAGATAGGACATATTATTACCAAGGTCATCGTTCAGGATAAGATATGCCAATATTAGATCACCCCGTATTCGCCGGTAAGATAACGGAAATAAGTTGAGGTGTCTCAGTCTGTCTTCATAAGATAGGTTAGATAAGCCTTTTACCATTTTTGTCTTGCGGCGTTGGACTCGTTCCAACATATCCGCCTCATATTTGAAACAAGGACTCGCTGCTTGAATCCCATATTCCAAATGTGGCCGTACGAAAGTTGGGTATAATAATCTAAACATTTCCCCATCCAGATACCGGAAAGATCTACGAATAGACCATAATGCCCTATAGCCTTTTGCAGCAGCAGCCTTACAGTGACTGGTTGTTTTGAGATCATTACTTAGTATGACTCCTAAATCTTTATAGTTTCTTACTTTGGGCAACACTAGTCCACATAATGTGTAATGATACGAATCATCGTAGTTATTTAATTGCATCACAACACTTTCATTAGGGTTTACTTCTAGTGACCACCCATTCATCCATGCAACTAGTGAGTTAAGATCTTCCTGTAAAACTATTCTGTCTGGCATACTATATATGGGTCTCCAAATCTTAATGTCATCGGCGAATAGTAGGACGGATGACTTAGCTATAGCTGGTAATTCATTTATATAAAGTAAAAAGAGAAGAGGACCTAAAATCGTGCCTTGGGGGACGCCACTTTTTACTGGTTCCCACGATGAGAGAGCCCCATTTACTCTTACCCGTTGTCTCCTTTCATGAAGAAAGTCACTTAGCCAGTCTATGACTGCATAATGAATTCCAAAACTTTCTAGTTTCAATTTAAGACCAGAATGGGAAACCTTATCAAAGGCTTTACTTAGATCTATGAAAATGACATCTACAGGAATATTGCGATCTTTTGCCTCAGCCCAATCTTCTCTTGCAATGAGAAGATTTGTCAAACATGATAGACCTTTTCGAAAACCATGTTGTTCCTTTGACAAAAGATCATGTCTTTCCACATAGTTTATAACAGCCATCTTAATGATTTTTTCCATTAGTTTTACAACTGCACTAGTTAAGCTGACGGGTCGATAGTTACTAACTAAATCCCTACCCCCAGTCTTATACACCGGACTGATTATTGCGTCCTTCCAGTCTCTAGGCAATCTGGACTGCCGTAGGGACATATCGAACAGCATCGCTAAGGGTTCAGCAATAACATCTGAGAGGGCTTCCATAATCCGAGGATGAATATCATCAGGACCACTAGACTTATCAGGTTTGAGATGCTGGAGTAGGCTTAAAACAGTTTCTTTCTTAATAACTACAGGGTCCATCAACAAGTCGCCACAATCACAATGAATAGGTGATCGTTCCTCATTATTGGTAGATAAAACTTTACTGAAATATTCCGAAAAAGCGGAAGCTTTTTCGGTATCATTTCTTGCCAAACTTAACGGATTTTCTTGTATCAAAAGTGATGGTATTCCATCACTTCTCTGAGTTCGCCTCTTTATATACGAGAATAACCGTTTTGGACTATGTTTGCAATCCATAACCAATTGTTTTTCGTATGACCGTCTAGTTCTACTAATTAACGCTTTACAATTATTTCTAATCTTACGATAACTAGATCTGTACTGTTCTTAGCCAGTAGAGATGAACATGTTCCAGTGTTTTTTTCTACGCTTAAGGAGTTTCTTAACTTCTTTATTTATCCACGGTGGACTATTGTTCGGTCTACGTAGCACCAAGTATGGTATAAACGGGGACGTGACTGCACTGAACTTGCCTTTAAATACAGACCACGCCTCATCAACTGATGAGCTAGTATCTACTGACTAATCTATCTTAGTAGCACAATCCTGAATTTCTGGTATGTTAGCTCTCAATATGTTTGAGCGAGGCTTAATCTGATCGTATATCATATCGCTAGCTCTAAACGTGAATGATAAAACAGCGTGATCGCTATTTACTAACGGGGGAAGAATATTTAGGTTGGCAATATCCTCAGTCTCATGGGTAATTACCAAGTCCAACGGAGAAGAACCTTGGTTTACACCGAAACGTGTAGGGTTGGATACATGTTGTACTAATGCATGTTCCATTACTGTTTCCAAGAGCCTGCTATCAAATGAGTTTATAGAGCATTTCGTGGTCATCTCAGTCCAACTAATGTCAGGTGCATTAAAGTCTCCTAATATCAAGCATCTGTTATTTGCACTCCATAGCCGAATGTGCTCTAAAATAAAGTCATCAGCTAAGCAGATTGGGCTGCGATAGATGACACCGAGTGCAAATGTACAACATCCGACAGTGAGTTCACAGCTAATGACTTCACTAGTTACACTATCATGGGATTCGCAAACGGAGGAGCGGATATTTATACTATTGGCTATGTATAGAAGGACGACACCTCCTTTCCTGCATCCATGTCTATCACTTCTTAAACAATGATATCCGGATAATTCTGGGGTGATATCGAAGTCATGGACTAACCAAGTTTCCGTCACAGCTACAATGAGTGGCCTTAATTTGTCCACTAATGTTCCTAGCTCGTAGAATTTATGTTTTAGACTACGGGCGTTGGCATATAAAACTCCTAGGGGGGACGACCTATCCACACAGGCCTTGGTAGCATTCGCTTCCAAGACCTGACTATTCGAAAACCCACCAATCGGAGATTTTCTTCACCGTTTTGTCGACGGGTTTCTAGTTCAGCTAGTGCCGTCTTTTTATTCTATCTTCAAGAGACACATCCGGTCGCATCCGAATGTCAGAGTTGTCGTGACTTCTAGCGTTACTTAACAGAAGATTACGTTGTTTCTCCGACCCTAAGATTACCTTAAGGAGTCTACACGGTCGGGGTAGAACACTGTCATCGGCTCTTTTACCTTTTCTAACTAATTTTTTGACCTGAACACCTTTAGTGTTATCTGGTAATATGCTACGGATATATTCTCCGAGCCTCTCTAAGTCATGGGTGTGTCTAACCTTAGGATCTGGATCGTTAGACTCTGGCAATTTACTCACAATAATATTCGATGATATTAAATTCCTCTCAGTCGCACTAGGATGATGATCTGCCGTTCTATCAGAGTGCGATAATGCATTGAGTGACTCAGACTGTGAGTTCCTCAATGGCTTGTCAACCAAGTGTGCTTTATCATTAGCTTTTTTTCCTTTTCTTTTCCTCTTTACTGCGGTCCATTTTTGGTCATTCAGGACAGCTGCATTGGGACTATTGGGGACGGTGACGGTTTTATCCGGGTCATCAATTTCTACTAAAGATACATGATTACTCATGTCCATACCATGTGGTGATTTACTCCTCGTTTGTTGTAACGGAAGTTTCACTTTGTCATTAATTAGAGTAGGTTGTTCAGTGCGTTTTGTAACAGCACTTACAACACTGACACAGTCTTCACTGTCAGTGCTTGCGTTACTAGCGCACCCACTATCTTTCTTTTTACAGGCTAGAGCCAATAGGCTCATAGCCTCTTGAATTAATGTCGTCTTGTTAGTACAGCAGAACATACAAAGCCAGTGCGAGTTAGGCTTAGAACATCTTTTGTATGCAGCTGAACTGAGACGGGTACACATCTTGTGGTACCATTTTTTGCATTCATCGCACTGCATCCCTTCATCTACGGGGAATAAACAGTTCGGCTGTCCACATTTGAATGAACTACCAACCATTGTAATCAGATTAGGTTTAAAAAACAATATGATCACAATAATAGCACAAGCGTCAGAGTATATGCAAAAGAAGGAACCACGAGACAAAGTTTTCAATAAAATTTCAAACCTTAACTGGATTAATTCAAGTTAAAGTAGACCAAGAATGCTTTTGATACAGCAAATACACAAAAGCAACAATAATCACAACAAGTATGAAAGTCACTGCCCTTTTTGAAACGCGCGCGTTTAGTTCCAAGTAGTTAATCTACTTGATTTACGTGAATATATATGGAGCTATAGGTTTCTTTCATTTTTCCTTTATTGTAAAAGGAGACTGTTGAAATACTTTCTTCTGATAATTTTATATTGTGCAAAAAATATTCTATTATATGAACCGTTAGTTATAATAAAAGACACGATCTGTACTAATGAGCATTATCGAACAGCAGTGATGTACGCTAC